CTCAAGCTTCTCAGTGATACGAGCCTCGCGCAGTGACTGCTTTTTCATGCGGCGGTGACTCGAGCGGTTGGCTGTCATTCCGAGGTTACTGTAGTGGAACATCTCGCTCTGGAGCTGCTTGCGATACTGACGCTGTTTGGGCAAAAGATTGAGCGATTTATACTCAATCAGGGCCTTCAGCTTGAGGGAGTCATCGTATGTTGGTGCGTCACTTTTGCTTGTATCCCATACACCGAGGTTGGCAGGAAGTTGGGCAAGCTCTGCTTTGCGGGCGGTGATTTTATTATATAGTATGATCTCACGATCCTCGCGCATCTGCTCCAAGTCGATGCCAGGTGGCAAGAGAGCGGGGATGCGCACACGATTCGCGCGGTTGGCGTGATCAGTGTAGCTGATAGTCTTGGACAACGAGTCGTATGGAGACTGGAAGTTGTCATACCACTCCCTGGTCATGACTTCGGCATCTGAGCTTTCTGGAGGCTGGCTACCAACGCTATCATTGGCAGCTTCAATGACCTTTTCGGCTGCGGCAACATTGTCCGTGGGAGTAGGTGGTTGAGATTTCTTCTGGTTTTGGAAAAGCTGTTCTTGGACGCGCAGGGGAATGGCGAGGTTCTTGGATAGCATCTTGAAAGCCAAGATTTGGTTTCGAAGAGTAGCCAGTTGCTCTGGTGAAAAGCTACCGCTGCCAACTGTCGCGTTCTTCTGGTTCAGAGCAACTGCCGATGCATTGGTAGCAATAGGTGCAGCGGTCGAGGAAGCCGAGGGTGTGCGACCTGTGAGAACATAGGTCAGCCCTGTAGAAGACCTTGGGTTTTGAGGGGACCAAGAGAATCAATGACAAAGCTTACCATGAGAGCCATTGACAGCTTCAGCAGTAGCGCCGTTCAGCTGTTGCTGTTGGCGCTGCTGCTGAGCCTGCTGCTGAGCCATGCGCTGTTGTTTTTGGAAGTTCTGCTGCCGTTGAATGGCAGCAAGTAGGTTGTGGGCCTTGAGGAACTCCGGGTCATCAGGACGAACACCTTGTTCTTGCATTTGCTTGTATTTCTGCGACAATGTTAGAGACGACAGCAAGGGTGGCGAGAAAGGCATAGGAAGGCGCGTGAAGGGACTGAAGAATTGATATACGGTGAGGCGTGTTGGCGTAATGCGACAAACTTACCTGGAGTATCTCTTGGACATTTTGCTGCGTGAGGTTAGCCGGCAAGCTCACGTTGCCAGGCGCCATGTTTGGCGCTGGGTGTAAGGAAGCCATTGTGACGCGTGTATTTTTTTAATTCATGAGCAAGCGAGCTAGGTTGGGGTGGCCAATGTCAAGGTTGATGCGGAGTTGTGGAAAGTCACGGTCTCCACCTGGTTTCAATTGCCAAGTCGCGCAGGCAAGAGAAGGGGCGATCGCGGTCGAAATAAATAGGCAGCGACAATGTGGGGTGAGCCTAATTATTGTGAATGCGATCAGTGAGCGACTGTACGGGATGCTTGGCGATGGAAAGCGTGATGTTTGGGGCCGTGGTCGGAGCTTCCGATGCGATATGGGGGGAGCGGGTACTTTCAGGGACAAGGGAGTCAAAGAAAGCGAGTAAAGAGGCGAGTTCCCAGGGTAAGGCAAGGTGGGAAGGGAACTCAAAAGTTGAAGGCGCGTTGGGATGGCGCGTTCAAAAAGTGGATGGATGAAAATGGAGATGGGGAGGGAACGGAGTTGCGCGACAGGCTCGGGGAAATCTGGGTGCTCAGAGCAAAGGACTGACAACAGCCTGGCAAGGAGTTTTTTGCAAAGGATGTTAGTCAGCAGGCACGTGAGTGGCCCGTGCTGTATTGTGGCCTGGGGCAGCGCAGTTCTGGTACCGTGCCGGTTTGGGGATAAGGCTACTATCACAGATGGAGTGGTGAGAGAAGAGTGATTGGTTTGAGAGGGTTTATAACCTAGGTTGGATTGGTCTATTCATATTCATTGAATCTATTGAATTGTCTTCCTTGCAATAACAATCAAAATGACAATACATTGTAAAGTTAGACAAACCCGGGTCCACCCTTGCTGTTTAACGGGTATCTACACGACCGAAGAACGTACCTAATTACTCAGCATACTTTGTGCAAGACACGAATAGAGACTTGAATGGATTTACCTATTCCCTAGGAGACATACGTATCCATGTTTTTCATCATCCTAATAACTCTGCATTGAGACTAATAGTAGCCGGGGAATCCTCCAGACCTCCATGGGAATCAACCAACATGGGAAAAGCAAAGCGAAGCAGAAAGAACAATTAAAGGACGGAACAATCCCATGTAAGACTAAAGGGATTAGTGACGGAATGATAAGAATAGATATCACCGCCACGACCGATCATAAGCTCCCAAACTCCAAAACCCCATGCTCAAGATCAAGAACCGACGTAAGATGCACTTTCAGAGCTCTCTCTTACACATTTGGTGCCGCGAGAAGGGACCGCTTGATGGGTGGGGGTGGAGGGGGCTTCTTCGCACGAGATGGTGGAGGTGGAGGCGGAGCCTTCTTCTGTCCGAGAGTGTTCAAGTTGGTTGCGCTAGGTCTCCGGGATGGCACGCTGCCCTGAGATGTTGCTGGGGATATATCCCTGCCCCCGCTGAACATCCGCTCGGGGCTAGAACGGCCATATGAGCTGACCTCTTCGGAGTCGGCGTAAGGATCAGCAGAGATTCGACCACTTCCAATTTGAATGCTGCTTCGGCGTCCAAAGCCGCTCAGATTCTCGCTAGTAGTTCGCTGCTGGATCCACTGCGATGCGGCTGGCACTTGTTCTTGCCGCAGTTGAGCCGGGCCTTCGAAGGTGGGGACTCTGTTGAGAACGGGACGTGAAACCCCACTGGTATTTCCGTAGGTCTCTCGCGGGGGGGACTCGGAGTATGGCGTAATGGATCTGTTTGATCGGATGGGAGGGCGAGTCTCCGTGGCATTCATTGTCTCTTCCTGCAATGGCTCATACCGTTCCAGGAACGAGTGGGCAGTGTTGGCGCGAGGACGGGTTGGACGACGGGGAGGAGCCTGTACTTGGCTGTAACTATTTCAGTGTTAGTGTCTCACACAAGACGCAGCAACCAACATCAATGCTTACCCAGCCCATTCATTCTTGAGCTGCAGAAGGGCCTCGCGGGACCGTTCATGGTATTCAAGCTGGGCGTCCAAAAATGCCCCCATGTCCATAACATTGTCGGTTTCGGCTTCTTTGATGTCCTGCATGCGACGCAGCACGTCGTCGCTAGCTTCTTCATACTTCACTTTTTGTGAGCGTAGTTCTTCCTCCACGCGGAAGTCCTCCTTCTTGGCCTTCTCCATCTTGGAGAGAGAAGTGTCGTATGCCAGCCGTCGGCTGTCGAGCTTCTTGCGAGCATGCTATGAGGTAGGTTAATATGGGACCTTCAACCTCCAATTAATCGCGAGAGTCAAAAGACATACCTGCAAGTCTTTCATCTGAGTCAGGGATCTCTCGAGGGACTCAAGCCAGCTTGAAGTCGCCTGCGCAATGTAACTTTCTTGGATGCGCGCAATGCGCTCCTCGGTGCGCCCAAACGCTGATCGAATTGTTAGCAATGCGATTCCTCCTGCGCACCCCCGATACCGTCCTCGGAACTTACTGATCAGACACTGTCCGTATTCTGAGTTCCCATCAAAGTCTTCGCCGTGGGCCACCATGCTGCCTCCCAAATGAGCAATCGGGAGGGTCTTCTCTTTGTCCTCTCCATCATTGCGCTTCGAGATAGCCTTGACATAAGAGGTCATGGATTTATGAATGCGGTCAACGCCTAGAGAGAGAGTTTGGATCAGTATTAAATAAACAGCAGGTGCGGAGGGTGGTCAAATCCTACCTTCATGTCGCACGCCCATCTCCGTCTCCATTGCCTTGAAATCATCAGAAAGACAGGTCTTGGCCTCTCCGCCCATACGTTCTCCGGCCCATTGCTTGAATCTGCCGATTCTCTTATTCACGTGCATATTGTGTGGTTGGGATGCTAATGGTATGTGGAAGAATAATCGAAACCAGCGATTGTGTGTAGAGTTGACAAGATAAATTAAAAGGGAATGTTCAACTAGAATGCTCTAGGATAAGAGGAAAGAGAAAAGACTGAGGAGGGGGAAAAGGAGGTTGGGAACGGTTAGATTAAATCATCCCTGGGGGGGCACGCAATTATGATAAAATAGGGAAATAAGGTCTACATCTCACAAACTCACAAAGTTACAAGAGAAATAATACAATGCGTTTTTTATGCATGCAGTAACGCTGATCTTGTCAATCAGTGGGGAAGTCATTGTATTCTCAATCTGCTATTATTACCAAAAAAGAAAAAAACGAAAAGAGAAAATTACTGTACGGAGTATACAACATAGTTTCTCAATTGGGGGGAATCATTGTATTTCGAACAAATGCTAGTACGGAGTAGACAGACTAAAATAGCCTACCAGGGGGAACAACCCCAGGTGGTTAAAGCTGTGACACGCGTTAGTGGGTCACAGTGGTGGAGAGCCACTAAATCCCATTGGAAGCGTCCAAGGTTGGAATTGATGGAATTAATGGAATTAATAGAATTGATAGACTTGATTACTATAATTATCTCTTGCCACTCTGGTCTGGATGAAAAGAATCATGAGTTCATACATTACCATACAATCATGTACAAAATAATGTGTACAGGGAATAGTAATAATAAAAAACAGGTTTCAAATGTGTTTCAGTTGATCCACGGCCACTCTGGGCTCTGGCCTCTGGGCTATTGACCTATGTACGAATACGGACGGAGTAGATTAAGACCCAAGACCATCGGTGGGTTACATCTTGCATCGCCGCAATGCCAATGCCGAATCTAAAATGACACAAACCCCTGTCCCATTTTCGGTTGGCATTGGACTATATTATTGGTAGAAATATCTATACATAATTGTTCTTCAGCATACTGCGTATACTCCGTACTCTGTACGGGTACGGAGTATCCATATCATAAATCATGTGGTCCCATCAAAAACATCACCCAAAAATCCTTCGAGGGTCAATAGATAAGCCAGGCACCCACGTTTGTTCCAATTCAGAAGCCAGCAGAGCATCGAACTCATTCCAGCCACTCAAAAATGGGATTGTTTCCCTAGCCGCCGACAAACCAGCCCCTTTTTCACTATTCCGATCTAGATCCAAGACCTCACCACCCCTATCCCTAGAGGCTGAGCGCGGTGTTTCAATTCCAGAAAAATCATCGGATGGCGATGATTCCGGCGAGTGCAGGTTGCTTTGCATCAGGCTCTCTGCATATTGAAGGGGCGTAACGCCCACATGTTTCTTAAACACACGATGGAAATGACTGGATGTCAAGCCAGCCTCCGCCGCCAGATCTCTTAATTTTGGTTTCAGCCCTGTCGTCAGAATGTTCCTAATTGACTCGCAGGCTTTGTCAATCACAGCGGTTTGGGGGTTGCTTTGAGCCGCCGTCTGACCCGAATCCGGACGGCAGCGCTTGCAGGGTCGGAAGCCTGCTTTCTCTGCTTGCAGAGGGGTGTCATAAAATTGGACATTGGCACGGCGGGCTAATCGTGCTGGGCAGGAGGGGCGGCAGTAGATTTTTGTGGTGAGGACGGCATAGACGAAGCTGTTGGCTGTTATGTCGCGGGTGGCGATCGCTTGCCACCGTTCTGTGTTGGTGAAGTTCCGGCTGAGTCGGGGAATTTTTTGAGGCTTGGATATATCTGTCATATTCGCGAAGTATTCAAATTGTATATATTCAAGGTATTGTATTCATTGTGGTGTCAACTCCAGGTAGAGGGGAACCTCGGGAAATCCATGGATCTGATGGATTGATCCCAAACTGACCAATCAGCGTCCAGGTTCGATCCCCAATACCTCAATGTACAATGGTGTACATGGTATATCAGGGCCATCACCTACAGTATATATAGCATGGGTATTAGAATTAAACGATTTCTATATTAAGTTTGTAGCCTAAATTCCCAATTTCCTCTAAAGTTGTATTAGTTGTCTAATTTCTCTCCGGTGCCTAGGTTTATATATATTGCGTAACTGTAACCTTTCTATACATATCACCTTCAATCAACGAGTGAAAGAGCCATAGATTTTATAGAATATTCATTTATTCCTAAGCTAAATCATTCTTAGAAGAGTCCGATATATATACTGAAGGCATTGAGAGTATGTCTTCCCTTGAGGAGCTTTTCGAGCTCTTAAGACGTTCCCGACCGTGAATGTTGGATGGCTATTCACCATCCTCTCGCTAAACCCCGAACGTGAATGTATACCACAAAGTCATCAGCATACGCGTCTCGACCGTCTTGGAACATAAGGAGGTGGTAAGCAGAGGCCCTGTTGAATTTGCAGTGTTGACATGCCGAGAATAGACGAACATTCTGTATAACTGCAAACAGTCCAAACACGCAAAGCGCGAGGGGACTTGGCAAAAGCCGTCTCTCTTGTTACTACATACCCTAATTGGCCCGACGCTGTTTCAAGATGAGATACAAATGCAGATACAAGATTGTCACAATACCCGAAACCCCACACCAGAGAAGCCTATACTAATATCGCACATATACCCATCTTAGACATGGTGATCCTACAGTCTGCGAGCCCCATTTCCTGCATCTTCCAACAATTTCTCATTATCTTTAACACCGTCCCACAATTACCAAATCTCGCAGAGTCACGCACCACGTTGGCCATTAGATCCTCAAACAAAAGCTGATTAGGTGGCTGTGCCATGCATCCCAACACACACAGTGCCCACACCAAGCCAGTGAGAGAGTAAGCTCCTGGTCTATTCTGGAGCGCCATAATGCTTCTAGAAACTGCGTTTTGAATCTCTGGTAGTGCGGGAAGTGGTCCAGAAACGATTGTGTGTAGTAGAACCAGACAAGCAAGGGCAAACAGGAGCGTGACCCAGCCAGTTTGGGATTCGTGATTTTCTTGTTTCTGGACATTCTACGTTAATGCATTTCGAGATGTGATAGTGATTGATACTTACATCTCTGGTTGAATCAAGCTTCTCAATGCCCGTGGTCAAACGGTCTTTGATCTCTGCCCCTCTTCTAGTTAGTTCAACAATGTTGAGTATACCCTCTTTTTCCTGCACTTCTTTCCATTTACTGAAGCAGGCTAGATCTCCGATGATTATCATAACCCAGTTTTCGCAACCCAATAGATCTGCTATTTGTATTTCAGAGGTATAGAGCCATTGCTGATATGGAAGTTGTGGGACACGTCCTGTCGGAAGGCAGGCGAAAAGATCAAGTGAAACCATTGTAGCGAGAAGGAACTCAAGGCCCTCCTGTGGACGACCTTGAGATGAAATAGAAGACCCTGTGTGAGTTGTGTAGCGAGCGTCGAATATAGTCTTAGGCGATAGTGAGTGTATGACACTTATGACAGCATCCAGATGCAGTAGCCAGTCGTGCTCAGCGCCTCTGAAAACCTAAATTGCTCATCAGATGTGAGATGGTCGAAAGATGGCCAGGTCCCTTCATACCTCACAGCTAATCAAAATCAAACTACATGCCAGGAACTCGGCCAGCCGAGCATGATCGTCCAGCAATTTTCCAGGTTCCTCGCCCATGAATTTGCAGAATTCACGGAGTGCCCTGGAATGATGCTCTAGTGCCCTCTCTCTTTGTTGATATTCCTCCTCACTCCCAAGAATTGCACTCTGGTGAAGCGATGAAAGGCTCAAAACGGCGTGGTAGAGAGGCCCCCGCTTCATAAGAAGGTACAAGAGCCAGCCCCGATTTCCTAGCCGGGATGTAGAGCGGAAATAAGGAAATTGCCACGCGAAGACCTGATCAAGGTAATGCATTAATAGGCACGCAGCCTGGGGATCGAAAATGCCATCTTGGGTAGAAGGCCGATCTAGATTTTCCAATGAAGCATTTGGCAAAATATTCGAGTCATCTTCCGTATCAAACGCAGCCGAAGCATTAACATCCGAATTTGAGGAAGGTCGCGTTTCTTTATATGCCTGAGGCAGCGAGGCCATCTTGGCGCGACTCTGCATTTTTCGAACTCGCCGGACATGTTGGTTGATCGCGGTTTTGATTCGGGCTCTTTCTTTCTTTTCCTCTGATGCTCCATCCATCCATGTTGGCTTTGGTCCATACCCATGACAATGGACATTTCGGTCACTGCATTCCCTGCAGGATGGTGTTGTTATGTCGCATTTTTTGTGCCGTAAGCGACAAGTCCAGCAACCAATTAATAAGGCACTCATTTGAACAAATACTTATCGTAGAGCGTTCTCGTGTGGATTGGAAGAGATCTGTGAGATATCCGAAGGTGATAGGCGCCCCTCCTGACTGTGGGCCTCATGTCAGCCAGGTGATCCAATGAAATAATGGATACCAGAGAAAGGCTGTAGGTGTTTTATATGGGGTAGAAAGTAGTCCATCAAATACACTCAAGGTCAGAGGTAATAGCTTAGATATGACCTCAATACAAATCTCAGTATAAAAACCACGGGTGCCAAACATCAGAAGACAATATTGCTTTATGAATTTGCTGCCTCAAACTCGCCAGGTGGTAGCGGCAGGTTGGAAATCTATTCCCGAGCTCCGCATACCCCATTTCAAATGACTTCACCTAAGTAGCGTTTGTAATAGGATATATCTGTTACTATCTATGAAGAGGATTATCTCGATCTTTTGATATACATAGGTTGAGACAGGGCAGGTCGAGCCGGAGCCTATACCGAGGGCAGGTCGAGCCGACGCAATGTGCCAAGAGCGCCGGCCCGAAGAGGGGTCTATACTCCGTAGTCGAACCATACTGATAATCGTTGAACATTATATAAGATGTATGCTCGAAATTTAATATAACTTATCCTATATACCTTCCAGACATATCTTCATTATTAGCCTTGGGCATTTCCCGCTTCTTCAGCTATTATTAAGCAAGCCAGCGGTACAGCTTAACTAAAAACCTCGATACTATGGAGAAAGATACCATCTTCTTTAATGGTCGTATCCTCACCCAGGCTGGATCCGGTCTGCATGGAGAGCCTGTATTTGCAGAGAGCATGCTTGTGAAGAATGGAATCATCGCAACAATTGGGCAATTCCAGCAAGTCCTCTCTGAATGTTCATCCGACGTGCAAAAGCGAGACCTCGAGCAACAGACCGTCCTTCCAAGCTTTATCGATGGCCACATGCACCTTCTCCTTCTTGGTCAATCGCTTCGCAAATTGGACCTCCGACCCTGCAAGTCTCTGGAGGAAATTCGAACCACCATAAAACAGTATGCGGTCGCCAATCCCCATATCCCGACTCTTCTTTGCAAAAACTGGATGCATTCCATGACACCGAATGGTGTGACCGCTACGATGCTGGACGACATTGACCCAAGACCCATATTTATCGATGCAAGTTCACAGCACTCATGCTGGATGAATACCGCCGCCCTGAAAGTCCTCGGTGCTGAAACTATGTCCGATCCCCCTGGTGGTAGCATACATCGGGATGCCGAGGGAAAGCCTTCAGGTGTCATGGATGAAGGTGCTATGATGTCAATTATCTGGCCATTCCAAGCGGTATCATCATCTAAAGAAGAACGCATGGAGTCAATTATTCAAGCGATTCATGAATATAATGCGGCAGGATATACCGGCGTTATAGAGATGGCCATGGATGAAGAGGCATGGGATAGCCTTGTTACCCTCCGCTCCATGCAATCAGACCTCCCCATGCGCATTGCCGCATACTGGCTCATCAAACCGACGGCAGACCTCGAAGCCAACTCAAAACAAGTACAGCGCGCGATTGAATTGAGTGGACAGTACAATTCCAGCACCAGTCCCGATCTTCGGATCGTTGGTGTTAAGGTTATCTGCGATGGAATCATCGACGCGTGCACTGCTTTCTTGTCCCAGCCATATGCGCCCATTGGTTCGCCTCCGCCCATCTGGGAAGCAGAGCATTTAGCTTCCGTTGTCAAAGAAGCGGACAGTGCAGGCCTTCAGATAGCCCTCCATGCAATCGGAGATGGAGCAATTAAAATGGCTATTGATGCAATTGAGAAACACGCTAGCCCAGGGAGACGCCACCGCATCGAACATATTGAACTTGCATCTCCCGAGGATGCAAAGAGGCTAGGAGAACTCGGCCTCACGGCGTCCATCCAGCCTGTGCATTCTGATCCCTCTATTCTGACCGAGTGGCCACGCCTTATTGGAGAGGAACGTTGTGAGAGGGCGTTTGCTTACCGCGAATTCGCAGATGCTGGGGCTCTTATGGCGATTGGGAGTGATAGTCCTACTTCGCCTTGGGCGCCGATGGATAATCTTTATGTGGCTACCACACGGAAGTCGTCCAGAAACCCCGAATATACCAAGGTTGTTAATGAGCATTTCCGTCTCGGGATGTGTGAGTCTATTGTTGCTGCAAGTGGTGGTGCAGCACGCAGTGTTTTTGCGGAAGAGCGGACAGGAAGCCTGGATGTTGGAAAATTGGCGGACTTCGTTGTTGTTGATATGGAATGGGAGGCAAACGCGCTATTGCAGGCGAAGGTCAAAGAGACTTGGTTTGAAGGAAGGAGGGTCTGGGGTTGATTGAAAGGATATATGGAACAACTTGTATATAGAGAAGGCGTATAGGCCTCAGAATAGAATGACATGAAGTTGATGAATGGGTCATAGACAGAATGGTCACAGATGGAGGAAATAGGATTGGCTTTTTGAGAACGGTAGGGCCAAACATCTAGATGTTCTGGAAATGTCAGTTTTCACTAGCCCTAAAATACCGTGAATCAACCTCCGCAGCCACAGCCAACAAGTGACAGAACCATAGATTTTACAGAATAATTATTTATTCCCAAGCTAGAATATCCCTGATGAGCTAAATGACTAAGTTGGGATATATCGGTTCCTTCGCGCGTAGTCCCCGAGTCGGAGCTCCTAGTCACGCCAATGTTAGTCAGTATAGATTTCCTTTTCTTTTCTTTGTTCAATATAGAAATTAAGAGTTCACTCAATGTCAAAAGATGCATAGAATCTACGAACCTCATGAGAGTATTGATTAAATGGAGACGTAAGGCAAATGCTTTGATAGCAGTTTGTTGTACGTGAAGAAGAGGGATCTTCCTCAAAAAGCCTATACAAGCGATCGAGAATTAGAATTACTCTTGCCCCCGCATCCTCCAACTTACAGTTTCCTGCTGCCCTCGGTATCTGGGGAAATTTTTGCGTCAAAATGAGGCTTTTTGCTTTTCTTAGTCGATTTGGTCGAACTTCCAAATGGAGCGGACGAGCCAAACCCTTTGCTCGAACCAAAGCCTTGATTACTCGCCCCAAAGCCTTGATTATTCGAGCCAAACCCCCCAGCGACTGTTGGGTCAGACACATTACCAATAGGCCCTTTTGTAGCGGGCGGCATACCAAACAGATTGGGTATGGCAGTAGCTCCATTGTTAGGTCTAATCCCGCCATTTTCTGTGCTTCCCAGACCAGGAGAGAATAGAGAGCCCTGAATTGTACCAAAGCCTCCTCTATTTTTATCTAAAGAAAGGATGGGTAAAGGAGACGTGACCGGTACTGGTTGAACAATTAGCGTTTGCACATATAATTGACATGGCATCTAGAAGTGCTACCTACCGGTGGCAGGAGTTGAAACTTGCGGGAACAGGACAGGACGAGGAGTAATGGGCGCCACCTGAGCTATCGGAGCCGTGGCTGTAAGGCTTGGAGTTTGGGCTCGGGGGGTTGACAGTCCTGCTGAAATGATATTCCGATTAGCCTGTGATTCCATGAACCAGTATATGGAATGTACATACCCAAGATAGGACGAGCACGCGTCGAAGAGTCCGCTATGCTGAAGGCATTGAGAGTCTGTCTTCCCTTTCGGAGCTTTTTGAGCTCTCCATTGAGACGTTCCCGATCCTTTTGAATGTTCAATGGCTCTGCTGCAATTTCTCGAATCTGCTGATCATCCATGTCAAGTACAGTCTTGCCGGTGAATATATGCTCAAGAGGGAAAAGAAGGCAATTTTCGATTGCCAAGATGGCAACGTTATCGACAAATGTCACGATCGCAGTCTGAAAATGCGACCTGTTAGAATTAAGCTGTATCTCATTCGAAAAAGCATAAAAAGCTCACCTCGTAGTATGCCTGCATTTGATCAATAATCTCTGCTGCTGCAAACTGATCGCCGGATAATTGTAGCTGAGATGTTGCTTGCTCCAGATCTCGGACATTAAAGGTGTTTCGAGTATCCTCTACTGCTGGGAGGGAAGATCCAGACAAGCTGAGATTTCTTTTTAACGCAGAAACCTGCCGGTTCTTTCTGGCCTCCTGGATCTTGGAGAGAAATGATTGCCCCACGGGGAGCGGATGGCCCCTTTTGGTGTACGAAGTCAATTCGCTGAGCTTGGCTAGCAAAGACTCCTTCATCTTCTCCATTTCCGGTCCGATGAGGTGTCGCATGAGCAAGGGGCGGGTGTGATCGTCCGTGATGTTCTTCAGTACCAGCTGGATAAAGTACTCGACCGAAGCCCAGGCATTCAACAGATGAGATTTAGCAACTGCTTCCCAGGGCTCGCATTGATCCCGGAACAAACTTCCTACAAGCAGCTGGTTTGCACTACCTGGTAGTTCGATTCCTCGACTTTGCCGGGCCTGTTCTTTGATTTCGTCCACAAGAGACTGCTGGGAAATGTACTGCGGTGTCCAACCATCCATGTAAGGCTTGGATCTCTCTTGTTCTACGTCCTTGACAGGTGTTAGCTGTCCAGGGAATTGAATGATTCGCCGGTTCCCGCGAGTGCTCATCGCTTCAGCAAAGCACTCATTAAGCTCACGTATTATTGCACGCAGTCGGCGGAAAGGAGATTCTTCTGTGGTCGCCGTATGGTCTTTGAATCCACCGAAAAACTCATCGACGTACGATCCATTTAAGGCCTGGTTTGTGATTCGTGCAAATCTGCTGCTAATATCGACAAGGAAATGGCGTTGCTCCTGAAGAGTTGTGCGTGGCGCGCCCAATTTTGCCAGTGTCTGCTCATTACGAGAGATCCTTTCTTGTATATCTGCAATAAGACCAGGAAGATTGCGACGGACATGATCAAGTAGAATCTTGCTGAGACGATGCCTCAGACTTTTAATCCCAACTCGGTCTCGAGGGAGGGAAGCCCACCGGCCCTTTTCAAAGAACTCCCTTTCTTGAACATCTCGTGCATTATCGGAAATGTTGCGTGTCTCAAACGAGCGGTTGCGCAATACATGC